CCCCAAAACCCCAAAACCCCAAAACCCCAAAACCCCTGATTTAGAAATTTTAGTTGAAACAAGCCAAACTTAACAATTAGGCATTTGAGATATTGGCAAGGATCTTCTTGACAACTTCCTTTTCTTCTTTCTTCATTTTGCCGATGACTAGTTTTTGTATTAGTTGTCTGCCCTTCTTGCGTTCGATAAGTTTTGCCATGTCCTTCTTTTTGATAATTTTTAACTGTTTCTCGTAGAGTGGATTGGCTTTGAATAGGTTTTGACGATCTGTTTTGGAGAGTTCACTTGGGCTTTTTAGATAGGATTTTGGGTATTTGAACTTCTTTGCTATAAACGATTTATAACTCGGAGGACTTTTCTTTGTATTATTTATTCTTGGAGGTGTGTCATGGCGGATAGTGGCGAGTACGTCTGATCGAAGTTTGATCGGAGTTTTATCAAAATTACCATGAACTTTAGTAATCTTCTCCTCATCGCTAGAGTCTGATTCTATTCATGAGTCTTTTCGAAGAGTGATAGTTCTATTTTCTTCTAGCTTAGAGATGCAGCTGCTGAGACTTTGTTCAATATTGTCCCGAATCTTAGGAGATTCTCTAGTCTGGAACCAATTTGTCTTGGTGTCAATATCATAAGTGTCTTGCGTTGTGATCCTGTTTCTTCTGGTTTTAATCAAAATAGAGTCTTTGGCTTTTTGAGTACTTCAATTCGGTGTTCTGAAGTTAATTTGGGTCTCGGCCAGTTTAGTTATGTTTATTTTCTTGGGAATTAGCTTTTTGGGGGAGTTTTTGAGATTTATGTTATCAGGGGATTGCTGGTATGGTTGATATTTAAGAGATTTTTTAAGGTCAAATGAGCTTTCCCCGGAGACATTTAGATCCTTTCTGGAACTTTCTCTAGAGCCAGATTGGGATAAGAAATATTCAATGTTTCTAGAGTTTACAAGCTTAATTTTGTGAATATTTTTTATTTTTTGTGTAGATTTGCTCATTCTAATATGAGATGGAGCAATTTCTCTTGTAGTCTCTTGAGAGTTTTCACCATATTTTATTCATGCTTTGATCTTGGGAAGAATATTGGCTGACTTTGTAGAAAATTTAGTGCTTTTTGATAGTTCTAGCCTTTGCTTGTTATTTATCCGTCCAGTTATTTGTGGGAAGAATTTATTTTACAATAACAGTTCCATTCCTATTAATCTCAGATTTAATCACCGAATCTGATGTCATAGAATACTTATATTTACGACCAGTATTCATATCATCCCAAATCTGAACCTGCTCAGTTGACAAAGACTTGTTAACAAAGTCCATTTTTACAACAATTATATTTTATATCTTAGGGGTTTTGGGGTTTTGGGGTTTTGGGG